AACTGCTTAACTTTTCTGGCAAAATATTGCCAGAAAGTTAAGTAATTTGTTGCTGGATTAGCATCATCTAATTAATTTTCATATATTATTGTTTGTATCTATTAAATTTTGTATATTTTGATTAAAATGTTTGATTTTTTTTATTGTATTAGCTTGCAATAAAATAACAACATCGTAGATTGAGAATATGAATCTTTTTATATATAGTAGTAGCGATGGAAATTGCATCACCTATGATATATATCAAAAATCACTCAACAGATATGCAAAGTAGCATATTTAAACTATAATCATAACTAGTAGTAGTAGTAGTAGTAGTAGTAGTAGTAGTAGAGAAATCAAGAAGAATAAATCAAAAAACTGCAATTTATTACATATAAATAGGCTACTACACTGAACTTAAATACCAGTAACTGTTAATTCACATTACAGCCTCATCAATACTGTTAATGAGCACTGTCACAGGAACTTGCTCTTCACAGTTATGGGAACAAAAACAAGAAGGGTTCACAGCAATAAAATAAAGCTGAAAAATATAATACAAACAATTATTTCTCGAAAATATAAACCCACAAATCTTTTACGGTGTGACATTTGTAAAAATTATTCAATGGAAAACATAAAAATTTGAAAGAGTCTTGATTATCAAATCTAACGATAATTCTTGTGGCTATCGTCATCAACGGGCATGCGCATTCCTCGGAAGCAAAAAAATTTTATTTATTTATTTAGATTTTTTCTGTCTAGATTGCCATGCTAGGGATAGGGATAATTCGTCTTTATTGTTAATACATTTGTTATCTTGGCCAGCTCTGTATATATAAATTGCCTCCATCCATCTCAAATGCTCCATATGAGGCGTGGTGTGGATGGATCATCCACACCACGCCTCATATGGAGCATTTGAGATGGCTTCCTTAAACATTGGATAGATATCAGGATCTGTAGAATAACAAGCTAGAGCAATTGTTACTCTCTTGTGCTGTATGTCAGCCTTGTGTTCCTTTAGTCTCACTCCTAAGGAGTGCTTAGTGGAGCCAATGTATATTAAATCCTCATCACACCTATGATTCTTTAGCAGGATGAGATATACTCCCGACAGCATGTCCTGGTTGGGAGTATCCTTAGCATTACGAAGTAGCTTAAATAGACTAGGACATCTCCTATATGTGATGCTGATGTGTTTCTTCCTAGCAATCTCAGAGTACAGCTTATGTAAATACAAGTTGTACGTGACAGGAGCTCTGTCTTTAGGATCCAGTCTTTCTTCCCCATGCAAAGTGACTTATGCAGATACTTGGGGATGGTGTAGTTTCCTGGACATTTTTTTACAGTGTTGTGATAAAGTTTAATTATTTCTCATTGAATAGAATCCTAATAATCTTAGGACCAACTCAAACCTTACCAGTTTTGCAGTACTCTAGCAGAAAATGGTGATTTCTTCAAGTTTGCTATACCAAGCTCATGATACCAAACTCTTCTAACACATTTCTGCAGTTGCTCATTATTCTTAGGCTTCTTTGCAATTTTTAAGCCCATAATATGCCAGCAGTTCTCTTTAGGGTTGAGAAAAGGTCCAGATCAGATGCCTAGCCAGCCAGATAACAGTCCTGATTGAGATCAGGACTGGCTAGGCATCTGATCTGGCTGGACATTTAGTAGGAATTTTTGAAATACCTAAACAGCAACTTGTGTCTCAGCTTAAATGATAATAATGCTAACAAACTGTAGAGAAAGGACACTTACTTTACTTACCATCTTCACACAGTGATATAAGATGCAGATTAATTCTGAAGATGCAGGATTTTGTGTAAAAAAATTATTCCTTGACTGCTGGAATTAACTTGGCAAATAACTCAAAAAACGTTTGTTTTTTCAAAGTTGCTTATTTTGTATTTCTTCACAACAGTAAGAGGCTCAAGTAAGTAGATTTTATTTATTTATTATACACACACTGGTGTGCACAAAGAAGTTATAAGATGTTTTATAGCACTGCATTCACAGACCCATTGTAAATAGACAGAATACAGACTACAAATGGACTGCTTCAAAACATCTTATTTGCCAAGCTAACATTACTGTTAATTACAAATAATTGCATAATTCAGTATTACATATTTTTGCATTCAACATTTTCAAAAATGTTAAGAACAAGATGTAAAGCTAGCAATACATTACATAAGAACAAATCAGTAAAATTTTTTTAACAACAAGCATTTATATGGAACTCCACACAGTAATTTGCATCCAATCCAATCCAAATTAATGTGTAGGGGTTCCATTTAAATGTTTGTTATTAAAAAAATCTAAATTTTGATCCAAAGCTTAAGTTACCCATTAGAACAACTTACAATTTGATGATGCACCTTAAAAAATGCTTTGTTATTGATTAAATTATAATTGAAAAACTGAACAGAAATGAATGAGTTAAGATATTTTACAAATATGTTTTTAGACTGGTTTCTGTTATACTGATAGTATAAAAACCAGAAATTACATTCAGTTTCAGCTGTATTGCAAAACTCTAGATTTTGAGCTTCTTGGATCATAGCTTAAATATACTACTTTGCACATTGAGCTGTTGAGCACTTTTATTATATTGCAATTTCCATGGCCACTACTGTAAATAAAGATACTATCTTAACTGTATAAAATCTATATGTATAAGCTAAAAAATTACAAATTATTCTAATATGGAATATACATTTGTATGGTTATAAATAAAACATTATTTCTATAAATTTGAGTAAATTACGTGTGCCATAAAACTTTTAAAAAGTGAACATTTAAATTAGAAGGTATTCAAATAATTGAATTTAGTTTTTCAAATGATAAAACATATTTTGTTATTCTAATCTACCAATCTTAACTTAAAAATAAATTGATGAAATTATAAAAGAATTAAAGAAACACAATAATGCTTTATATCAGAATTATCTTAAAAAGAAACCATAATCATAACTATCATTAACTAGAAATAGGCCTAGTTAATGTTATAAAATTAAGATTGAAAACATTTAAAGTATTTCAAAATTTAAAAAAATTTGGAGAATTTGTATAATTCTGGATCATCATTACAATTAGTATATCACAGAATACTTCTCAAATTACAAATTCAAGTCTGTAAACTGATATACATTTATTTCATGTATAATTTAAGCCTGATTCAACTTTTCAAAGTTACCCTTTACCTAAAATAATAAATGTACAGTACATTATATTAGTTTAATAAATCATTGCATAAATTAAGGTAATATTTAGAGCATGGGACAAAATACAATGCATCAGCATTGGTATTCAACCATTGCAAGCATTGTTTTAAATAAGCATACTCTGATCCATGCCATTCTGAGTCAGCTGTTAGTTTTCTGCCATAATGGTTGTAGATGGATTAAAATGAAATGGCTGTAGAATGATTAATGCTAACCTAAACTTGAATGAATATCTCAAAAGGTAATATACCATCTTGTTCAGTCCTAAATAGTGTCAAATCCACATCAGTAAAAATTAATATATAGGCTTAAAGTACATAAAAACAGATACAGTAGACCCCCTATAACACTGTAGATAATTCCGTGTTATATGAATTCCATGTTGTACGAGTCACTTAGATTTTACAAATACGTGAGCCGTTCACAGCTCGGCACACGTATTTGTACAATCGAAGTGACTCGTATAACATGGAATTCATATAACACGGAATTATCTACAGTGTTATAGG